GCTTCCTGCCTCCTCAGCTGGCAGAGCAAGCTATCTCAGGCCGGGCACCCCATCCCCATCAACTAGGCCGGCAGATGCAACATCCCAGACCAGGAGCCCCTCAATTTTCTCCTTTTTGTTTTCTTCCTTTCCTTCCCTTGTACTTATTTTGTTTTTTATCTTTATTATTTTTTTTTTTTAGCTCTTCTTGTTTTTCTTTTTTCCCTCCTTTTCTTCTCTCCCCTTGCTTTTTCCTTTCTCTTTTTTTTTTCTTCCCTTGTTTATTGTTCTTTTTTTTTTTTGGGTGGGGGGGAGTTTGTCCCACAAGTGGGAGGCGGACACTGCATCCACACTACCTAGCCATACCTGCACAACCTGCAGTCCCACCCACTGTGTGAGTGCCACCACCCACTCCTGTACAACCTTATCAATGACAAGCAGTGGCCAATACCAGCCCAGCATACCCTCATCTGCTCTACATGAACAGAGAACTGTGCACACTCCTATCTTCCACCACACCTACCAGAAGAACAGACAGGTGGTAAGCACCTAAGTGCTGCCAAGCTAATGAGCAGAGTAACACACGTGCCCTACTCCCCTGGATATATCAGAACAAAATAAAGCAAAAACCTTAGGCAAAACACACCAAAGTGCAATCGTCACTTAAATACAAATACACTGATATCACAATGTCTCAAGACAGATGACAATCTCAGTACATACAAACAAGACAGAGCAGCTCAAACAACTGACCAAAATACTGAGCCAGAAAACCTTCCTGAGGAAGAAATGGCATTAGAACTACCTGATAAGGAATTCAAGGAATTATCTTTAGGTACCTTCAAAAGATTGAGAGAAAGATCAAAGCAAACACAGAAAAAATATAGGAAAACAGACAAAACTATAGAAGAATTCAAAAAAACAATACGAGAACAAATCGACAACATCAATGGAAAATTATGAACCATACAAAAACAGCAAGTAGATCCAGAAGATTAATATTAAAATTGTAGAAACAGATAATGCACTGGAAGGACAAAGGAGTAGAACCGAATCAATGGAAGAAAAAAATAGTGAAATTAGAGATAAATCTTTTAATCCTAATCTGTTAGAAGAACAATCAGAAAAAAAAATTATAAAGGCTAAGAATTGTGTAAGGAGCTCTGGTGGTGTAGTGTCTAAGGCATCTGACCACTAAGCAGAAGGCTGATGGTTCAAACCCACCAGCCATTCCTTGGAAGGAAGGTTGGGCAATCTACTTCTGCAGAGATTCCACCTTGGAAACACAAGGAAGGGTTGCTGTGAGTTGGAATCAACTCAGTGGCAATGAGGTTTTTTTTTTTTTTTTTAAGAATTATATAAGACACCATCAAGAGGAATAACTTACATGTGATACAAATTCCAGAACAGGAAGAGAGGACCCCCCCAAAAAATAAAAGCACAGCGAACACTGCCAAAGATTTTTAGGAAGGAAACTTCCCAAATATCATGAAACAAGAAAATATGTATTCAAGAATCTCGAAAACTAGAAACAGGACAGACCCCAGAAGAAAATCACAAAGACATCATAATCAAATATTCCAAAAACAAAGACAAAGAAAGAATCCTGAAACCAGCATGGGAAAAATGAAAAATTATAAACAAAGGAGAACCAGTAAGACTCTGATTTCTAGGCAGAAACCACATAAGCAAGACGGTAATAGAATGACATATATTAAACTCTGAAAGAAAAAAATTGCCAACCAAGAATTACATACCCAGCAAAACTGTCCCTCAAATATGACTGTGAAATCAGTACATTTTCAGATAAACAGAAATTAAAAAGAATTTGTAAAAATCAAAACCCACCTTACAAGAAATACTAAAGGGAATTCTTCAGACAGGGAATCAACAATGGCAGATAACAAACTGAGTGAGATTAACATGCATGACAACATGACCAAGAAACCAAACTAGATACAGAAGTATCCAAAGTAAAATGAAACTGAAAATCAGGAAACCAGAGATGTCAATTTGTAAACAAGGACCACTACAAAGCAAAAAAAGGGAAGAGTGTTGTTACAGAACTTCCAAAGGAAGAGGAAATCAAGACAATATCAACAAAGAATGGACTGTTTTAAAGTTGAGAAAATAGGAATAAATTACAAAGTAACCTCAAAAAAATTTAATAAGCCTTATCATCAAAATAGGAGCTCTGGTAGCATAGTGCCTAAGGCACTTGACTGCTGACCAGAAGGCTGGCGGTTCAAACCCACCAGCCACTCCTCAGAAGGAAGGTCAGGCAATCTTACTTCTGTATTGACACTGCCTCAGAAACCCAAGGAGGGGTCGCTATGAGTCGGGGCCAACTCGATGGCAAACAAACAACAACAACAACA